GTGTGAACCATCCTGTCAGAAAGATCGGATTTGAGCAAAAAGTCGGATTGAGGTTTGTAATGTGAACGTAGCTTTACAGTATTCATAATGTATTCATATACAATTTCATGTAATAACTTTCTGTGAGGGAGCTTTTAGAAGCAGTAGCCTCTTCAGATGTCTGGTTCCTGTCACCATCACTGAGAACAATTCTGACACTGACGAAGTGTCTATAGAATAGAGGATTTCACATCAAACCACTCTAAATGACTTTGTTTACATATTAATGATTGAATTAGGCAGGAATTTTGAAAAACTGGTGGAGGTCTCCTTTGAAGCAGCTGAAATCACTAATTAGAAATACAATCTGTGTTCTTTTGTACACATAGTGTAAGTGAATCCCTTGGTTATTCATTTTTTATATGAATATAAAAATGTTCTAGATGTGTTCCCTCCCTGACACAAGCTTTCAGAAATGCAGTTCTGCCCTGTCCATTGGGCTTTGTTCACTATAATCATATACCTGCACACTGGCATAGCTAGAACAGAAAGAAGCTGATCTGATCTTCTATAACTTACACTGATAAGGGTGACACACTAATATTGTCTTCCCAGCATGCAGCAGCTCACCTGCTGATAGACCATATTCTCCTGTCAGCGGCAATCTAGCCACAGCAGTCCAGGTGAAAACACATGTTAAAAGAACACCTTTTGGAACGTCATGATGAGAAATTATATAAACACGTGTGTTATTCCTCACATACGTTGTCAGACAGGATCATTAGAATTTATAATAATTGAAAAAAATAAAAAAATAAAATGAAACATTTGAATGCTTTCAAGCCTCCCTGCATTTCAACAGACTGAAATATTAGCAGACCACCCCCCCCTTGTGGCTGTACATTGCAGAAATGGGCAAAGTCAATGGTCTCCTTTATAATTCTGTAGAAGCTTATCATGCAACTCAGTAGCACTTCAGACACAACAGCTGCATGTATTGGGTACAAAGCACAATGTTACTTAATCCCTTAAAAACCTGCCAAGTCGAGGCTTCCATTCTTCAGTTCTGTAACTTAAAGACAACTCAGTCATTTTGGTAAAAATTGTTTTCCATATATTACTGAATTATAAGCCTTAGGATATATAACCCCAATTTACAAAAAAAAGGGACATTGTGTAAATTGCTAATAATAATATAACAGATATAATAAGAGAAAGCAGTGATTATTCAATTCTATTTGACCTGTATTAAATTGAAAATGGAACAAAAACACTATTTTATGTTTTACCTTATGGACAATATCATCCAAATTTGATGCCCGCAACTCATTCTAAAAAGTTTGGACAGAAGCATGTCTACCACTGTGTTACATCACCTTTCCTTTTAACAATGCTTAGATTAATAAATCTTTGGGGACAGCAGACACAAACTGATCCAGTTTTGAATAATATTTTCTTAATTTCCTGCCATTTTTCTGTTATATAAGTCTTCAACTGTGCAACCATACAGAGCCTTTGCTGTCGTGTTTTGAGCTTAATAAGACACGTTTTCAATGGCAGACAGTTCTGAACGGCAGGCAGGCCAGCCTAGCACCCACACTTTCAGCCATGCTGTTATGCTTTGACACATGTAGAATGTGGCTTGCCGTTATCATGTTGAAATACGCATGGGTGCATAGAGCAGCATATGTTCCTCCGAAATGTGGTCACCGTTAATGGTGCTTTCACAGATACTTTCTAATCTTATATAAACCCAGACATGAGTGAGAACAGCACTCTGTGGAGTGAACAAAGCACAATGATAATGATGAGGGTTACCCACTAACACCCTCTCATACCATGACAGACACTGGTTTTTAATTTTTGAATTTACGCTGGTAACAATCTAGATGGTCATGTTCTTCTTTGGCCTGGAGAACACAGCGTCCATTATTTCCATAAACAATCTGAAAGGATGACTCCTCAGACCACAATACACGTTTCCGCTGTGCATCAGTCCATTTCAGATGAGCTCAAGCCCAGAGAAGTTGGCAGTGTTTCTGGACTCTGTTGGTCTTTTTGCTAATCTATTTTTGGCAAATTGGTGAGCCTGAACCCATTCTTGCTGCTTTTATATCCGAGCATGATTGCATCATCTGTTTCAGATGTTTTTTGAACATTTCACAGTGTTCCTAGTCTTAAATGTCCCTGTCCCAACCTGTTTGGAATGTGTTGCAGGCATGCATTCCAGAATTTTTATACTCTTTGTGTTCGATTTTTATAAATTACTGCTTTCTGTTTTTATTTGTATTTTACATACAGTCTCAACTTTTTTGGTATTAGGTTTGTAATAATCATGGGAATTTAAGTGCTTAAGCTGTTTAAGACAATAGTTGCACCTTGATCAACAATTAAAAGCCCTGCTCTCACCTTTTTCAGCCTCTTTCCTTTCTCATAAATGTAAAAGAAATTGTCTAACTGCTTTCTTATTTGCACAGTTGCACAATGCTATGCACCATCATGTAGATGGTTAGCATATAGAATGTAGAAATGCTGTACTTCAAAAGAATGCTTTCTTTTATTTGTTCCATCTCTGTCTGAAAAGTTAAGTTATATGGTGTCAAATAAGTGTTACACAATCTGGTGCAGCAGACAATGGCAAGATGTACGGTTATGTAAACCTATTTTGTTTTTCTTTCAGTCCATTACACTGAGGCCAGAAAAATCTATATCATTCAAGATCAAAATCAAAAAGAACTTGATTGTCTTCCCAACTCTATGCAGTTATAGAGTGGAACAAAATACAGTGTTTACAAGACACAGAATATGCACAGTGTGGTTAAACAGGAAAATTGTATTAGACAACAGAGCCTTACAACACAATAAAGGACAATAAGAGCAACTTGATACACTAAATATGCAGAATGACAATATAAGAATACGAGTTGATTAACTGTGCATATTCTATGTGAATCTTAACAAAAGCGTAGCACTGTGGAAGTGATAGGTAGATCGAAACAGAGAGAAGCATAATAATGCATTATAGCATAATGATTGTGAGGATATGTAAGTAAAATAAATATTGCTACAAAATACCTCAGAGCTGATCACATTTTGAATAAAACTTTTTTTAAAAGTTTTACAGTACATTACAGTAAAAGCATGATAGTCTAAGGTGGCTCTCTATTTGTTTGTTTAGATAGTTGGAAGATGGAAGGCAGACAGCAGCCTGAACAAAGAGAACTGATCCAACATAAGTAATGAAGATGGCACTCTCTGAAGTCACACTTAGTTCTGTTATGAGGCAGTTTTCTAAAAAAAAAACCTCATAATTTTAACTACCTCATAATAATACAACCTCATGATTCAAACAATCGCATAGTGCTACTACATAATTCTAACAACCTCATAATATTACCTCATAATACTAACAACCTCATAATATTACCTCATAATACAAACAATCTCAATATACTACCACATAATTCTAACAAGCTCTTAATACGACCACATAATTATGCCAACCTCAGTATACTACCTCAGAAATCTAATGAACTCATATTACCTCATAATACTAACGACCTCATGATGCTGCCTCATAATTCTAGCTACTTCATAATACTACCTCAGGACTCTAACAACCTCATTATACCCTAATAATCTAACAACATTGTGTAACAATCTCATAAGACTAACCCAATAATTCTAACAACCTCATAACACCACCACATAATTATACCAACCTAATAACTAATAATATTACCTTGTAATTTCAACAACCTCATAATACCACCAGATAAGTCCAACGTTCCAATGACCTCATAATTCTGTCTTTTTTCCTGTCTTGTTGTAGCCTATTGGCTCTTTTAATTTAGATTTAATCCCTAATCTCCTATAATTTCTTCTGTGTGCAGCACTTTGGTGCAACATAATTTAAAATGTGCTATAGAAATAAATATAGAAATAAATATTACCACTTAAAATGGCCATAAATCTTATAATTTTAATAACCTCACATTACTGCAACATAAATCTAACAACCTCATAACCTCATATTAAATGTGCTATAGAAATAAATATAGAAATAAATGTTACTACTTACAATGATGACATAATACTAATTCTGATAACTTCACAATACTACCTCATAAACTGAACAACCTCATAATTCTAATGACCTCATAATATTACCTTATAATTCAGAGGGGCTCATTATACTACCTTATAACTCTAACTACCCTATAATACTACCTCATAATTCAAAAGGGCTCATTATACTGCCTTAAAACTCTAACTACCTCATAATACTACCTTATAATTTTAGGTCCTCATTACACTGCCTCATATGTCTACCTACCTCATAATACTACCTCACAATTCAAACTACCTCATAATACTACCTTATAATTCAAACTACCTCTTAATGCTGCCTTATAATTCAAAGGTGCTCATAATAGTGCCCTTATAACTCTAATTACCCCACAATACTACCCTATAATTCAAAGGGGCTATTATAGTGCCCTATAACTACCTCAAACTACCATACAATTCTTAGGTCCTCATTACACTGCCTCATAAATCTAACTACCTCATAATACTACCTCATAATTCAAACTACCTCATAATGCTACCTTATAATTCTAAGGTCCTCATTAAACTGCCTCATATTTCAAACTACCTCATAATACTACCTCTTAATTCTAATGTTCTGCAATGTCTTTGGTTCATGAAATGAAATGAAACAATTTCATGAAACAAAAAAAATTAACAAATAATAAGTTAAAAATGGAAAAAGATACAAACCTCAGTTACAAAAGTTATCCACAGAACGAGTCAACCTCCGGATTTCTTGAAACTCCACTTTCTTTTCATTGAAGTCACTAAATTAAAATAGTCCAACAGTTGCTCGTCAGCTCACTGTTGTTGACCCATGCAGAATGCAAATAGGGTGTGTACAGCATGTGTGTGTGTGTGCATAGTGCTTCTCCTCTCTCAGCCCTGTAGTGGAAACCACATGCTGCAAGTGTGCAGACACAGTTTGAGGCTGCTGGGTCACACATTTGCAACCAGTACTATTTGTGATAAGGTATGTAAGAGCAGGCTGCAGGTTAGTCTGCCACTGAGGCTTCTCAGAGTCATTTTTCCATAAAGAGAGCTGACAGCTTTCTATCTATCAGCCAGTCTGCTGTGAAATGGAGCTTCTGCTGACGGTCGTCGTCCTCCACGCTTTGTGCTTGTCTCAAGGTAAAATGGTCCCTGCTCTTCATCTGCGTGGTAGACTTGGTAGATCTTTTTACAGAGTGAAGTTCTACAATTTAGGTGCAGTGCTGTCATATCTTGAAACGTACTTACTGTTTGTCCAGAAAAAAGCTGTGGCCTTCAGTTGTGCCCTTTTTTTGTGTTCAGTGGCAGCGATTAAACTTGAGGTTGTACAGTATTTCATTGAGTGAATGAAGAAGAGGCGGTGAGTCTTCAACCAGCTCATGCACTTCAAAAGACAGAGCGGCACAGCGTCACATGAAAAACAAAGTCTTTGTGAATCTGTAAACATGAAATGGCACACTTTGTTGTAGCACTGCATTGTTGCAATATGATAAATGAAAGGAAACTTATTGCATGTCAAGCAGAGATTAGTTCGGCTTCACTGCTTTCAGCTGTGGAAAAGTAGGAAGAACTCCAACAGCAGCTCGCATAAAGATCAGGTTTGGTACTTTGAGAATCTGAGAACGGAATTATTTTTTTAAGAGCAAAGAAATGCATGGACTCTCTAAATATGACAAGAAATGCATGTAGACTATCATTAGCCATTTTTTAAACGTGTATCTAATTATATAAATATCATATCACAACGCCATTGCTGAGGAAATCGTACATTCTAGCTGCTGGTCTTGAACGAAAACATTCAATATGGCATGTGAATCAAGGGTAAGCAATGAAATTCATTGATAGTGATGGAACAATCTGGGTTTTGTTAGAGTTAAAAACATTAATAACAATCATTTTGAATTGACAGGAATTTAAAAGTACCATTGAACAATATGGAAATGTTGCTATATTACATAACGGCATTGACCGGATGACAACAAGTTCATTACTTCCCCCACAGATGAAAAATGTTAACTTAGTTTGAGCTAGAATAAATGCAGATTGCCTCAAAATGTCAGCAGATAGGCTATTGAGGAAGTCTTATAAATTTACAGGCTAGTTTCAAGCAAGAATGATTTATAAACATAAATCTGTCCTTTAGGCTTATTTTTCATATATATTGTCTTCAGGATTAATGTGTAATATGTTCTAGGAAGAATTTAGTAACTACTATGAAACTAATGTGTCTGGAACTGCTGGTAGAGTTTATGGAGTAAACATTCCCGTAAAGAAATGCAGAGATTAACTGAAATGCACTTAAATTGCCTAAAATGAACCTAAATTTGCATAAATTTTCATTTGTAACGATTAAAACAGAGTCCGAAAAACTTTATTCCCGTACAATGTAGAATTTTAATAAACATCTTAAAATCTTGCGTTGCAGCAAAATTCTGCTATTCCTTTTTGTTTAATATATTATTCATAGTACGTCAGTAATCATAAGACTGAACTTTAAGCTTAGCATCGCCAAGCGTTTGTAAGATTATAACTGAAGAATTATGCTAATATAGAAGTGCTCACAGTATGTACTGATAAACTACAGTTGTATGCAAAAGTTTTGACTCGCCTAGTCAAATTAAACATTTTGTTGGTTTTCATGTTTTTATGCCACATTTTCATGCACAATTTCTGTTTATTTGCTGAGTTTAACATACTGGAAAAAAATAAAGCTTAAAATATAAAATGTCCCATAACTTTTGTACAGACCACATTTTATGTTTTATTTTCCAATAGGTTAAATAAACTGTGCAGAAGTGTGTTCTCTGTAAAGGATGTGCTCTTATTTTCACTTAGAAAATCAACAGACCATGTAATTTGACATGGGGCACCCAAAGTTTTTCAAACAACTCTATATATGACTCTGACATTGACTTTGTCAGCCATTGCTGCATTACAGAAAATCTTTATTAAAAAAAAAAGTCCTACATTCTGGAACAATATGACTAATAAAATAACAATGATGCAGATTTTGTGCACATTCAAACCTGCTTTGTCAGTTTAGCGTGTCCCAGACTTCATTTCACTCCAAGTACTTGGTGTTTTTTAGCATTGCATCTTGGAATCTAAAGCAAAAAAGAAACAAAATGCCTCACTGACACAAGCATGATGGGAAAGCACATTATGACATGTCTTTTGTGCCTTTTGACTGAGGACAAACTGTCCCTTCTAAACAGAAATGTTTGCTCTTAAATGGATTTTGGATGGATCTTAAATAGACATTTAACATTATGCTGTCTCCCTCAGACTTTACTCAGACTCAGACATTGTTTGCCTTCTTGATTGGTCTGAATTTTGAGCATATTCTGGCAGGAACAGTGAGTGGCAGAATAATAGAGACTTTAGTTAACCCTTTAGTTCTGAGAATAGCGGCTATTTCAGCCTTTGAATCTGCTCTTCTCCCTTAATAAGTAGATTACTTAGCGCTGTAGTCGCATTTATTTTGCAAAGCAAAGAACTTTTTTTGTTGTTGCAAACTGCCATTCAAATACATGAATAGGAATCACACTCAGTCACCTTTGACTTTTACTCTGATGAAACAAGTCTTAAGCCCTTAGAGAGATGAATTGGGTCTTGAATGTACTTAGTGTGCTCGCTCAGAAACGAGCGCAGAGCATCTAACAATAAAAGCAGCATTGAGCTTCTTTTATACAGTGATAGAAAACACAGTAGCACATACAAGGTATCATTTGCATATGCTGATACATTTACAATGGCCAGTGGGAACACCTCCCAACTATGTTACACATACAAGGAATTTGTTGTGGTGATGTAACATGCTGACCAGACCAGACAAGCACACTGACGGTTAACAAGTATTTAACTAAGGGACAAATAAAACAAACAAAAAAAATAGAATAAAATACAATAAATGGAATAGAGAATAGAGGAGTAAAAGATAATAAAGACTGGCTGAGTTTGACGTACAAGAGACAACATTAACAAACTAAAACAAACACAAAATGTAAGAGTATCTCACCAAGGCTGTTGTCCACCCATTTCTCTAGTTGTTAAAACTTCTGTGTAATTTCGTGTTAAATATTTGTTCTGCTTTTTTTCTGACACTGAAAAATGAATAAAATGGACTTAATGGCTGTTTTAACTGGGAACAAAGTAAATGAAGGGTGGTCTCTGACTTGCACTGCACTATATGTGATCTAATGATGTTTAAAACTGTCTTAACGTAACTCATTCCATATATTTTTTTTTCTTTGTCTATAATTGATTGGGCTCCCATCTACTTTGCATATTTTGTTCTTGTCATATCGCTTAATTCCCAGACTTGACCACCTGCCGCCACTGAGATCAAGAAAAAATCTATTATAAGGTTGTTGTGCACAAAACCTAGACTTTTTACTTTTTTTTAATATTTCAGTATAAAAACTGTTCTTTTTATTGTGCTAAAATCTAAACAAACAGTTGCTACATAGTGCACATGCTGAGAGAAATGTCAGAATTTGATAGAGATAAAATTATTTTGCGCTAATTATGTTTATTTTATTAAATGTAATGATTGAACATTCCATTTTCTCACTACCAAAACAATCATAACATTACCAAAACTTTACCAAATGTTTCAGAAGTGACTGTTTCGGTAGAGACAATATTAGCTAATTTTGAGCAGAACTTAAAAACACTACATGGCTAGTAAAACACAGCATAGAGCACTTGCATACACAGAAAATCATCATATTTTTAATTAAATCACAAAAACATTTACTTAACTGAGACAACAACTACACTGGTTACTACATTGTTTACATGCTGATTTCCAGACTTTAGGACTCATTTACTTCAAAACAATGGGATTTTAACTGTTCATCATGTGGTCATCAGGGACAGGGATGCAGTCTCAGTTCCTGCTCTAAAATGCAGGGGTGTGGCTAAAATATGGAGTCTATGGAGTAAAATTATGTAAAATTATGGAGTAAAATTATGTTTTGGTAAAAACATGAAAATGTTTTTTGAATAAAGTTTTTTTATTTAAAAATTAATCTTATAATAAATCTAATCTCTTTTAACTTTGGTTTAAAATATTTGAAAACGTTTTTTAATAAAAAGAAGAGAAAATACAAAAAAGATTGAAACTTAGGGGTTAGGGTTTGGGACAGCCACCCCTCAATAGTTCCCTATAAATGATGATTTTGTATATATTTAGCTGGATGTCATGATGGCTAACTAGAGCACAAAAATGATCATGTGATGTGAGCTGTCATGATATCAAACATTTGGTATTTTGCATTACATTTACCAGTAACAGTAACATTGTAATATCACTGAACAAACAGCTCAGGACAGCATGACATCTGCCATGACATGTTTATGGCATTGTTATGTCATGTAGCAGGGTTTTTAACATGCCCCCCAACAAGTGGTTTTAAGTAGCCAACAGGGTCTCAACATATGCGCATAAAAGTGCTTGAGAGAATGATATTTCTATCTCAGCATAATTCCATGTGTGTTATTTTATAGTTTTGATGCTTTATGTTATTCTAAAATGTGGAAAATACAAGGAAAATTAGAAGAACATCCTAAAAGCAGGTGTGTCCAAACTTGGAGAGGTAGTATACGCCTCATACATATCTGATTCATGTGTGATCTAGTGCATAAGCGCTGGAGAAAATTACAATTAAAATGCTGTTTATCTGGTCACTAAGTGCTTATTTGGTCTGAAAATGCCAACAATACAATAAGTACAATTAACATTATTAAAATAAATAGTGATTTTGTGTCTTATTAATGTGTTTGTTTAACCACTCCCAAACCTCTCCTTGACGAAGCCTGGTATTATTTGTTGTTACCATTCAATGCATGCTTCAGCTACGCAATCCTTCAATAAATTAAGTTGGGTGCTGTGGATGGAATTGAATTCTGCGATGGCATCTGGGGGCGTCAGTGAGAAATCTGGAACAAAACTTTGTTCTTTAGACACACTTTTTTTTTTCACCGTAAGACATTCTTGTTACTTTTTACTGTATAATTATTTCCGTTTATTGAAATGATATATGGTGTTTTTACAATGGAAAACACACCGCTGAAATAAATGATTTTAAACAGTGTATTTAAGACTTTTGCACAGTACTGCATATCGTTGCTGTCCAAAAAAAGTATGTCTATTTTTTGGCAGTTTTTAGTATTCTGTGTAATTTGAGCTCAGCAGCTGTCCATTACATTGCCTGAATATTTCATGATGATTGGACCAATAGCAATGCTCCAAACAGCTTTGAATAAAATCTCCTTTCATTAACCTTCATTAAAAGTAAAGAAAGTTTTTGCCCTCTCCTGTGAAGTTACCATTTTGCAGATACTTGTTTTTCTTTGGGAAGCAACAGTGCTCAACCTTTTCACAGTCGTATATTGACATAGCTATTTTAGCAAAAGATCCTGTGCCATAGGCTTGATTAACAACAAAAAGTCACATCTGATTTGAGCTGTGTTCTCCAAAACTAGGACAGTATTTATTCTCTGATGTCCTCTTTTTGTCTATAGGACTCCAGGCTGCAGCCGCTTCTTCTGTCGATGAGCATGTAGAGAAACAGAGTGAGTGTTTTAGATTGTTACTTTGTTTGCGTGACTCAAAGCTCTTATCGCTACTGTCATCGTGTTCAAATCAACACTGTAAGCAGCAATCAGCCACATCAGGACTATATCATTGCAAAACCACTTTACTCTCGAAACGAAAGACCACCAAGGAACAATAAGATAAGACAAAATGAAGAAAGTGGGCCAGTCTGAGAGCAGGTGGTACATTTGTAAAGATTTTTGGCAGAAAAAGAGCAATAAAATCATAAGACATACCAACAATGAGGCTTTAATTCAGAGACACTCACAAATATAATTTACAAACAAGGTTCTTTAAAGAATCATCCACTGAAAGGTTCTTATGGATCTAAATGTGGTTCTTTGAAGAACCTTTTTTTGTCAATGCCAGTTTTAAGAGTGAAATTTCTGCCTCTGCATCTTGTAGTAATAAGTGGAGAATTTCATGAACTCTAATTCAAACCACAATTGTTGTCTAGTTGCCTTACATGCTGTAAACATTCTATAAAAAAAGTCTTCCCCAGTGTCCTCCCTGCCACAGTTTGACATTTCCACAGGAAGTGACTCACGGGATGTGGCTGTGCTGCAGTTTACTCTTGCAACTTAGCATAGACATTAGCTCTATTCTTTGAGACTATTGACTGCATTGTAAAAAAAAAAATACAAACAATAGAAGATTCTCAGCAAACACAAGGGTTACATGTACAACCAAGTCAGTCTAAAACTCTAACTAGCTTGTATTGACACTCCTTGACTATCTTATACCATGTAGGTGCACTTTGTAGGTTTACAGTTACTATTGTAACCAATGATGGACAATTTATCAGCCCCCCTACCAAGAAAACATCGATTAACATGCCACTACCATGTTGGTGTTGGTGACAGCTGAGAATGTAGAGCTGAGAATGGTTCACAATCCAAATAAGATCTGGTCAGCGGTGGTCCTATGGTGGTCCCTCTTCCATTGATGTTTGAGGTAGAGAGTGGCTGATAAAGTGCACCTACATGCTCAAACATAAAAGTGCCAAAGAACTCTTTAGAGCTATGGAAGAACCTTTTGTTTCCCAAAGAACCTTTCAGTGACTTTCTTTAAAAAAAAAAAATGGCATTTTGTGGAACCAAAAGTGGTTCCTCTGTGGCATCACTCCAAAGAACCCTTTTTGACATATTTAGGAGTTTATCTCTGTGTATACTTGATTAAGTTTATAGGTGTAAAAGAGATACACCTAACAAACTGGTTAATAAACTGTGTATGAACAAGTAATTACATAATATCAATTACCACAATTCACAGTCCATTTAAATGAACATCTCTCCTTAGGTGGCCTGCATACATTCAACCTTTCCAAGGCTTGCTCTGGAACTCTGAGGGCTCATCGGAATGGCAGCTGGGTGCCAGTCACCCTAAAAAGCCCAAAGAAAAGAAAATTGCTCATGGCTGAGCGAATCTGTAGGGAACTGGGCTGTGGGGGACTCTCAGAGTTTAGAGAAAATACGACAGCATCCATCAACACCTGCCTGACTGAGTGCATCATCAGAAACTCCATACTGCACAACTGCACTGCAGCTGCAGCGAGCAATTGCTCCAAAGAGGTGGTGGTAGAGTGCGGTGAGTCATCCAGCAGCCAAAGTACATGCAGATGTGGTTTCTGCTGTTAGCAACTGACCTAACCATTCTCCACCCACAAACGCATTAATTCCGCTGGTGCAAAATAAGTAGGTGGCGCTGTGGACATGTCCCTCCCTGTTTTTATTATTATGTGAGATAAATTTGGGAGGGTCCTAGGTTGATTGTCACAAAAGATACATAGCCTATATTATAAATGATAAATATTTGAGAGTGGCTTTTCCATAAAATCTCCCTTACCAGTGATATTATGTTGTTACTAAGCTAAAACAGAGTGGCCGCATGAGTGAAGACAGCCAGTGCCACTACCTTGTACATTACAACATTATATGAATACTGTCTGTCTACACAGTGATGGGTTGTCATTCAGTTGCCTCATATAAGAACATGTTTCTACCTATTATTGCCTTTATTCAACTTATACAGTAGACACATCACTTTGGTTTGCTCTGCCTTTTCACCTAGTTTTGCTGTGTGGAGACTTTAGCCTCCTGGTGTTAGTGGCCCCCCCTCCAATTGCTGCAAGTTGTTGCAAAGATGGACATGCTTTATGGAACCCTGGCAACTTGTCAATATTCCTAAATTTGAAACAGTATTTTACATTAGCATAGTGGCAAATGTGTCATTGTAGTTTGCAAAGTCTCATTTAGCTACAACAACTAGCATTTTAAACTGGAAAGTCAACATTGTGTAGCAAATTATTAATTTCTCATTATACTGAATGGGATTTTTTGTTAAACTTCTGTAAAGCAGTTACCCTGAAACAATACATTTGTGGGCGGAGCAAGTATAGGTCAGCTATCATGTCATTCATCATTGTGTCAGATTTGTCTGGTCCTTTCCCAAACAATCTGATTCTGATTGTTTCCATCCTTCAGAGCACCACGCTGTCCGCTTGGCTGCAGGTCATGACCGCTGCGCAGGACGAGTGGAACTGATGGATGATGGCCGCTGGGGATCAGTGTGTGATGATGATTGGAACCAAAGAGGAGGAGATGTGGTGTGTGCCCAGCTAGGTTGTGGCACTGCTGTAGAGGTGACTTGTGAGGCCAAAAAATTTGGTCCAGGCACAGGGCCCATCCACATCAGCAAACTCAACTGCACAGGAAAAGAGAGCAACCTCTGGCAGTGCAGCGCTCAGAAACATGAAGATAGCAACTACTGTGGCCACAAAGAAGATGCTGGAGTGGTGTGTTCAGGTACACAGTGCTAATACAACTGCACACAGATCAGTGGGTGGAAACACAGTAACACTTTGTTTTACAGACCCTGAAGTTCTAGGTGTTAACCAGGTAACTGTGAGGTGAACTCCAAACTACTAGATCATTCTTTTGGGTAACATGATGGCAAGTACCAAGGCAGTGTATCTAATACTGAAACCAACAGGCTCTAGGTATTAACTGGATGAGTGTGAGATAAAAAGTGGGTAAAAAGTACAGAGCAGTTATACGGGGTAAAGAGATACAAACACATTTCACATATACATAGTACGTACCTGTCTATTACCTATGAATGAAACTGAATATGGGCTGTAAAGTAAAGCAATGATTCTTACTATGGTTTTACTGGGTTCTCACTGTTCTATTTCAAAAAAACTGTCTTTATGGTATTTGGAGCTGTTTTTATTTTGCTTTCCTTCCTAAACTACTTACTATGTCTTTTATCAGCTAAATAGCTAGAACCTGTTGGTCATTTTAGTATACTTTAGGTAGACTGTCTTCGTACTTGCCATCATTTTAACTAATCAAAATAATTACACAGCGCTTACTCAAGAAATAAACCTCTGTGGCTTTTTCGACCTTTTCTTTTGGTCTATTCATTATAAAATTTCCACACAAAGGCAATAGACATTTTCAAATTATGTAAAAAACTGAAACACAACAGCAGTATATATATATATATATATATATATATATATATATGTGTGTGTGTGTGTGTGTGTGTGTATACAAACACAATCAAAACTCTGACGCCACTAGTAAATCACATACTTAGCAAAATTTGAGTGAAAAGTAGAATATTCAAAATATTTACATCAATTTCCGAACTTCTTAGTATTTGGTATGTTCTCCTGTTGCTTTAAGGACAGCTTGCACTCAAGCTGGGAGGAACTGCACAAGTTTGCACAGAAGTCTGTCAATAGATCAGTAGTAAGTAGTGCCCTAAAAACAGCGCAGAATTTTGAATGTTTCTTCACTTTTTCATTTTAACTGTTTACTTTTTTGTTTGAATTTTTTAAGAAACTTACTGTTATTTGTTTCAAGATTTAAATTTATAGATTTTCAGTGTGGTCTCAGACTTTTGGATCCCACTGTACATACACACCTAGATGGGAGGGGATAGAAAAAGTAGAGAGAAATTCTGCTTAAATGAAAGTATAAGCAATGTGTCATAATCTTAATATCGGCAAGTGAATGCATCTTGAATGTAGGCAATATTTCTAATATTACTCATTATGAGACAGTTGTGGGAATTTCGGAAGATAGTTCACCCCTATAGTGATATTTGACACAATGACTACATTTAAGGTGCTTTCACTTGCTGAGGTATCATTTTCTGCAGTATATCAAGTCTCATAAAAAGATAAGGCATTATTTGTTTGAGAGGAAGTTGGAAATATCTGCGTAATTAAGGCCCAGGTGCCAAACCTCATATGCTGAAGAGGTACTGTGTGAAACAGAGCAGCGTCAGCTCTGAGGTTTATCCTCCAGACCTGATTTCAGCACCTCTGGCTGTAAAATATAAGGCTGTGGTTGCTATTGGGCCCTGAAGCAATGAAGGTCACTAAAGGGTGTCTGCTGCAGTTATTGTGTTGCTGCTGACTGCCGACTGCCAGTGAGACAAAACTGCAGTTATCTGTACTCGAATGAACTGTGACAGTCGAAGCTAATTATAAGCATTTCCACTCAAACAGGAAGCACTACCGTTACAGTTTCGCCGATCAACACGACTACACCAAGTCTAACAAACTGGACCACAGGTGATCCCTACACTCTAACCTGAAACTACAGTGAAAAATTAACATCTTTCATTTACCAATAGCAAGAAAAGTGTACTGCATGCCTGTATAAGATTCAGTGTGATCTGATTGGTGCATTGTTCTGTATCTTTTTAGACTCTGTAACAGTGATGTTAGTTCAGGACAGCAGCAGCCTGTCAGGGCCGGTGTGGGGCTGTATCGCTCTGTCTATCGCTCTGCTCATAGTGATATTATCAAATGCTGCCCTTTGCAAAAACTACAAAAGAAGAAATGGCAAGTATATACAGCATCCTCACTTCTGTCCTTGAGTCCTTCAACATAACCAAATATTACCATTTAAAAGATAGGATCATTGTTCAAAACTGCAAATTCAATTTGGTTTCGGATGTATTAAGTTTGCTAGTCATAGCTTTCAAATAATCAGTAAGACAAAAAAAAAAATCTGAAGAAATTGTAGTATCTACAATGATGAACAGAGCCATGTGTAAATGATTCCATAATGACTGAGAAGGCTGACCTTAAGAATTAAATTATAATAAAATTAATATCCTGAATTTATCATATTTCATGAGTGGAGATCAAATCTCAAGGCAGATTACTGGAGAACAATAATGTAAACAGACAATTACAGTACAGAATACAATAGAATGTCTGTAACAATATATAATAATTCATAATGAATGGAATAAAACATCTAAAAATGCCTTTAAGTATCTAGTTTATAAGGTGTAAATATGTTTAAGTGATTATTATATTTACTGTATCATGCTGAGAGGTTTTACTTCTCACTTGATGCATGTATTTCAGACCTCATGATGGCAAAAAATATATGAATCTATCTTTAATACTTAAGAAGCCACTGCTCTTTTAGGAGCAGAGCGTTCGCAGAAGGTAGAAAATCCTAGGGGATGATTAACAGGCTACTCACCTTTTAGGTTTTTAAAATTTTTTTTTTTAAAATGAGAAACCATCATAGAAAAATATGTTTTTGTCTTATTTTTTTTCAGTATGAAAACCTACCTACAAAAAATCCTCCAAAATGCTCTACTTTTTTGCTTATTACAGCAGTTTATTTTTGACTTTGGCTTCAAACTGAAGCTCTGTGAAGCACACTGGCTTAATGACGTACAGTTGTGGCTAAAAAACTAGGTTGCAGAAATTTAACTTGAATTACAGCCCATAGGCTGATTCGGTATGGATCTATCTGTAGCTCTCAGTTTAATACAGCTGATAAAATATACTGGAAAAGGCCAGGTTACATGTTACCTCTTATTTGATGTTTAGTTGCATATACATATTGATGCTGTCACAATGCATTTTTTTTCAGTTTTTATATATTTGATTTTTTTTTTACAACACAATTTAAAAACACCAGCTGCTCTTTACTTTGAACATTTCAAAATGAATGGACTAATAGACAATGGTCAACAATAAAAGCTTGTTTCATTAATATATACAGTGGGGTCCAAAATTCTGAGACCACCTTGAAAATCTGGGACTTTTTCATTTAAACCTGCAACAAACAACAGAAAGTTTTAGAATTGTAAAAAAGTTGGAAACAAAAATCATTGTTCAAATTTAAGCGAATCTGTGACACTGACCATGTGAAGGCCTTCGCATAAAAGGTCAGTTTTCCATTCAGATGAATGGAGTTCTCAGTTGGAGCTGATCTACTCATCAGAGGCTTTTGCACCAACTTATGGAGTTCATGCAGTCTTGAGTGCACGCTGTCATTAAAGCATAAGGGGGAAATATCAAATACTACGAATTTCTGAAATTACTATAAACTTTCAAAGATTCTACTTTTCACTCAAAAGTTTATGGTGATAATATCATTTATAATTTAACATTTGGCATTAAAAATACAAAATATAAGCATTTTCACTGGTGGTCTCAGACCTTTGGACCCACTGTGTTATAAAGTTAAGAATGTTTTTCTCCTGTGAAGTTATCATTTTGGAGAGATTTTGTATATACGACGGCAACACAACGGCCAAAGTAATGTCCCCTTTACTCTGCCTACTCTCAGTATAACATTAGTGAACAACAATATCTAATACATATAACAATAATTGTCAACAGAATAAATATACTTTGCAACTGTCACAAGCACATTTGATTTAAAGAGCCCACGTCCTACATTTTCCTGTAGTTTAGTACTTTATTGTTTCTCTCCACACATGATGTTTGTGTGGTTTTGTGTACTAAATTCATAATTACATTTTTTATGACCATTTTTCAACCTCTCTTTATCCCTTTAAACAGACTGTTTTCGTTATTCTGCATTTAAGACTGATACATAAAAATGACCTCTGTTCTTGCTGGCTGCTGTGTTTAGAAAGCAGTCCAGGCTGAAATGGGAAGTGCTGAACTGCTGTAAGCTGGATTAGTGGATACTGTAAATGTGCTGCTTTTGCTTAAATTAGTGATAATTAATGATAATTTATTTCTACATGACCGTTTCCAGCCTCTCTTTATCCTTTAGAATTAAACAATCTGTTTTTGTTACTGACTGCTATAAGATAAATGTGCTCTGTTCTGATTGGCTGTCCTGTTTTGCACCTCATTCAAAAAGCACTCAGAGCTGTAACACTCTTTAGAACTTCAGTGTGAGTGGGTGGGCTTAAACTGCTGTAGTGAACAGTGACTTCAAAACTGGATGTTTTTGCAGTTTAGTTTTCATACACTGACTGTATGGACTGGTACATTTTGGAAGATAAATAATGTTTACATATTACTTCAAGCCCCTTTATTTAAAAAAAAAGCAACAGAATGGGTCTTTAAAACTTTTATAATAATGTTTAGGGACTTCATTGAATTGTTTTATTTGTAAAAAGGGAGGAAAATTAGGTTTTACAAAATATGGGCCCTTTAATAGTTTACTAGCAAACACATTAAACTTGTTCCATTGTTGGATTCATTGCTTAGACTTCATTAAGATATTTTGGTGTATATTAGTTCTGCTGTAGAGAAACAACTAACCTACGCCAAGACCTCTCTCACTATTATGACAGGCACTCTGAAAAATAGCAGTAATTTTCTCTAGCAAGCAATGCTGTTTCTGCTCCCAGTTGCTACAGACAATGTTAGTGCTTTTACCACATTAGTCCACTTTCAGGTGTTAAACTCATTTAAACAAAAACACACACAAAAGCTTAGCAATGGCCACTAGAGATTCACATTTTAAGAGAAATTCCAGTAATATCTAAGATTATAGCCCATTGATGATATTCATATTCATATATAATTGCAGTGAAGATTCAGAATAGATAAATTTGGCATTCAAAACTCTTGACAATATCTACTACCACAGTAACAATTATATGCTGTGCTGAAGCTCTGCTAAACGGAGCTAGGACTTTCAGAGTGGGCTTATTGCACCAAAAGCAATGACTCAGAGTGGCAGTTTTTCCTGTAAGTGAGAGCTTTTGAAAACTTGTGAGATGGTTCGATTTTTTTAATGTCTTTGCTCCACATTACACACAAAAGGCATCTGCAAATGCAAGGCCTCTCACATGCACTATGAAGCGTAATTCTTTTTCATTCCCTCTGCTTACAGCATGTGTGATTCACCAAAGGTATCTTGATTCTCACACGGGAGAAGACGGGGACATAAACAACCTGCAAGTTGTCGCTGTGCAAGCGTCTACATATGGTCTGTGCCCTTATATCTATCTTGTACATGAAACTCAAGTTCAAGGAAGCCTCTTCTCATATAGAGCAGCCTACTGGAACTGCTCTGTATGAGAATAGACAAGTTAGAACTGTGCTGTTCTGTGTTGCAGTGATCATATTTCAGCTCATCTAGTGTCTCTACTATACTTAAAGGAGGATTCTGTCCCAAAACTAGTTTCGTCGTTGTATTATGTAGCATTCTCTAACACAGAATTGAATCCTTCAGCCTCATTGACAGAATTATGATTTTATATTGTTTTCACGCTTTTGTTCATCATTGTTCTTTCATCGCAACACCCAGCATGCATTTGACAAATGCATCATACAACCATTGGGAATTCTTCTGGTGTCACCCAAGCCTGACAGCTGGCACACTGATCTATAGGCTAATAAATACAACCAAGCTAGCATCAACGTAACTCTTACCTCAGTCATCAGACAAAACTGTAAAGAACCAGTGATTCTGTCTTTATTGACTACAAAATTGACAAGTTTTTTACCTTTTCAACAAGAAAAAAGAAGCCAAACTGAGGAGAGGTATCTAGATGACCAGGTAGCTACCTTGCTAAGTTTAGCTCTTAAGTTGTTGTCATTTTAGGCTAGGTCTTTTAACTGCTCCTCAACCGATGAGTCATTTTTGTCATTTTAATAACCAGTCATCTCCATAGTAATATAGATATAGATATAGTTTATCCTCACTGTAGTAACATAGATATATGCAGGCAACTGTCGAGCCCCAAAAATCCATGCTAAAGCAGTTTTTCTAATGTTCATCTCACATTAAAGATATATCAGAACATCATAGCACATTGTTACATTTTTCAGTGCCCCTTGAATGCATTTTGGGGTTTTAAATAGTGAGCAAGGTTTATGATGGCTTTTAGTTACTTGACTTCTGCTTCATGTCTGAGTTCTTCCTTCCTAAACATTGTAATATTACTGTGTATATGTGTTTAAAAACACAGTAATAATTGGCTGGTGTATGGCCTCAATTCAGTTAAAAGACTACTCCAGCTTTCTTCCACCTAATCTTTGTTCACTGAATCTGCAGCATACAGTCATTTACCATGAACAGTAACTTTCAATAATAGTTTTTCCCTGTACTTAGTAAAGAATCGGATAATTACATGACACACAATAGTGTGAGGCTGCACAACTTCCCATAGGCTTCTGTACCAACTGCTCACAATTCCTTTCCACAGGTGAAGGAGAAGCCAGGAGGCCCTCATTAGAGGACGATTCCGAGACCTCCAGTGGCTCTGATTATGAACCTTATCAACACTTTGTTCCACAGTCACTGGCTAATGTGAATAACTTGCACCGTAAGCAGATAAAAATTATATTAACAGTCAAACAAATTCATGACACATTTAAAAGGTTAATATTCTGCTCTCTGTGTCCTGCACGTTTGTCATACTATGTAATTATAACTGCTAGGTGATGACTATACTTAGCAAGTCATAAGTGGATTGTCATTATCAGATGCAACTCGCACTGACAAAAACTGTTAACCTTGCAGCCGTGGATGATGCACCTGTGGCTGGTGAGTGCAATCAAGCACAAGAAAGAATTTGCAAGGAGGAAAATGTCCTGAAAAACATGACAGGTTGTAAGCTATTTTTTTATGTTTTCTCCTTTGCTGCTGTTTACAAATACAATTTGATTTTGTACTTATATGAATTCATATTTTTTACTTATATGAACAAAAAGCATAAATAAACGTATGTTTAAAAAGCTACCTGTATAAGGAAAAAGTTTTCAGATGCCACAAATGAATAAAATTAGTACTGTGTTACAAAGCTGTTGTTATCAGTATCAGCACTGATGAATCTACGGTAATAAGCTTTTTGCTGCATTGTGGTTCATGTTTGGCCCATTTCTCTTCGCATACCATCTTCAGTTACCCAGAGTTGTCTTTGCTGTGGCACTGTGTTGTTTTTTTCCATTTTCGGAATATATATATATATATATATATATATATATATGTTGTTTTTTTCACTAATATGTTAATGGTCAATTAACCAGTAATTGTGCATTAATATTCTCTGTATAGAGAATGTGTACTTATAGTCCTGTAGATAATCAACAGCCAGATGACCCATGAATCTTTGCATATACATACAAGCATAATATTTGAATCAATTTTTACTTCTCAAGTTCTGTTGCTTATGAATACACTACATCTTTTTCCATTTTATAAGTCAAAATAATAAACATTCACTGGAGTAAATTGTGTGGGAGCTCAATGCACTGACGGCCCTTTTCACTGTGGTTTGTAGATGATGTTGATTCAGAGAGCACATCTTCAGGAGAATGTTATGAAAACACACCGAATGAACAGGAGCAACTTGTGAATCCAGGTCAGCCGATATATCTCTCACAGTCACAGTAACCCATATAACATTTCATACACAGCTTTTCATTTCACCTATTTCTCTTGAAGATGTTAACCAGTTTTACCCTGAGCACTCACTGCAGACAGCACCATTCCTCAACACCGGCCAATCAGCTATCAGAACCCGTAAGTTAAACTGGTCTTATTTTTTTAAATCAACTTGGTAATACAGCTGAAACATGAACACCCATGAAATTTTATATAAACCTTTATTTAATTCCCCAAAGTTATGACAGGGATGTTTAAGGACTTTCCTAAGGCTCTGTAGTTCTTTTTATGCAAGTGTTGTTTAATAATGTTGTCCCTGAGAACTTTAGGAAGCTTCTTCACCTTCACCACGATTGCAACTTGCGTAAAGTCTGTCCGACCAATGGCCACATCTTTATAATGACACCATGTGCAATTTTTTTCCCAGCATTAATATTTAGATCTTGATTCATTTTTGCAACCATTATATATTTAAAATACTGTGCAAAGGTCTTAGTCACCTAAACACACTGTTTAAAACCATTTATCTTGGCAATAAGTGTGTTTTTGTATGTAAAAACATTATATATCATTAGAGTAATACATGAAAAACATAAATACAGTTAAAAGTAAGACAAATGTAATATTTTGAAGAAAGTAGGTGATATCTTGTGAGCTAGTCTGAAGAACAAAGTCATACATAAGATAACACGTCCCCTATATCAGAGGTGCCCACTCCTGGTCCTGGAGATTGACCACCCGTTAAGCCTTCATTACTTGAATCACGTGTGTTAGATTAGGGTTGGAGCTCAACTATACAGGACGGTAGGTCTCCAGGACCAGGATTAGGCACCCCTGCTCTGCAGGAACAAATAAAATATGGGATTTGTCTACAAATTTTAGTGAACAGTTTCATTACTGTAATTCAAGTTGAACATACTGGGAAAACAACAGAACAAAAAACAAAATGTGGTTTAACATTAGCAAATGCCACATTTTATGATTGAATTTTTTAATATGTAAAAATTCGGCAGATAAAGAGTAATTGTGTATCAAAATGTGCAGTAGTGTGTTCTCTGTAGAGGATGTGTGAACTTATTTTCACTTACAACATCAACAAAATGTCATTTGATCAGGGGCACCCACACTTTTGATTTTTACCTCTCAATATCGTTTGCTCATGCTTATGAATGTATTACATCCTTTTTTGTTCATATTTATTTTTTTAAGTCAGAATGAAAGCAAAAGTGTCAGAGTTGTTTCTCCTCACTGGAGTAAATTGTGTGGGAGCTCAATGCACTGACGGCCCTTTTCACTGTGGTTTGTAGATGATGTTGATTCAGAGAGCACATCTTCAGGAGAATGTTATGAAAACACACCGAATGAACAGGAGCAACTTGTGAATCCAGGTCAGCCGATATATCTCTCACAGTCACAGTAACCCATATAACATTTCATATACAGCTTTTCATTTCACCTTTATTTCTCTTGAAGATGGTAACCAGTTATACCCTGAGCACTCACTGCAGACGGCACCATTCCTCAACACCAGCCAATCAGCTATCAGAACCCGTAAGTTAAACTGGTCTGCTTACTTTTTTTAAATCAACTTGGTTAATACTGCCAAAATACCCATGAAATAAACCTTTATTGAATTTCCCATAGGGATGTTTAAGAACTTTGCTGGGTCTCTAGTTCTTTTTATTGAAGTGATGTTTAATAATGTTGTCCCTGAGAACTTTAGGAAGCTTCTTCACCTTCACCATGATTGCAACTTGTTGCAAGCAATCTGTCCAACCAATGGCTACATCTTTATACTGACACCACGTGCAATTTTTTTTCCCAGCATTAATATTTAGATCTTGATTTATTTTTCAACCGTTATATATTTAAAGTACTGTGCAAATCAACTTGGTAATATAGCTGAAATCAAAGACTTTAAATTTTAAATATTTTTTCTCCGTGGAGCAGAGGACTCAAGTGATTCGGACAGTACATCCTCTGGCGAATGCTATGAAAACTTAGGCTTGGAGGCTGAAGCCTTTGTCCAGACATGTAAGCTCAAATGTTCTTCAGCTTAGAGGAAAATTAATTGAAAATTTGGAACTAGAGTGGTGTACTTTGGCCTGTCTGTGTTTTATCAGTCATCCTTAAAGGGGAATTCCACCATTTTCCAAAATTCATTAAAATGATTTGATGTAAATGCTCTGTCCTAATTTACCAAGTCAGATGTGTTCACAGTGGTAGAGAGAGGAACCAGACATCTGAAGAGTTTAATGCCTCTTGAAGCTACCACAAGTGAACCTATCACATGACATGGTGCCTGAGACATTGTTTTACCATAGTTTAAAGATGTAGTTTTGGCCTGAAATATATTCTTATATTCTATTCATGGCAGCCTGGTTGTAAGGAAAAATAGTCCCCAAAGAAAACCTTTGTGTTCCTATTTACCACTGTTCACTGGTGGTTTTGGATAGTATCCAACATGCAGTGACTAGTATATTTGCATTGTAGACATTGTGACCTCCACTGTAAAGAAATCACCACCACTGTAAAGAAATCTGAGTCTGTAAGTTTCTCTATAATGAACCATTTCACATTGATTCAATCTGAATATCTGTTTAAATCTAAATGACGTAATTATCAGACTGATGCATTTTTAAAAATTGGTGGAATTCCCCTTTAACATTAAAACTGAATTCATATTTGATGTGTAAAAATGTTTTAGCATTAGACGGATCTCAAGATCTTTAATTTGATGCATAAAACTATTTTTTGCCCCAAATGTCATTTACCTCCATCTAGTTCCGGTCTTAATTTTTGCTCACACTCTTAAAAATAAAGGTCCCAAAAAGAGATGTTTGGAGCAATAAAATAACACCTTTTGATTCCCTGAGGCAGGGGTCAACTCTAATCTTAGGGACCCCATGCACAGTTTTAGCTAATCACTATCCAAACCTACCTAATCCCATCTTATTTAGGACTCAATTATTACCTGATGAGCTGGATCAGGTGTGTTGCAAGGCAGTGAGTCCCCAGGATTAGAGTAGAACCAGTGACTTAAAGAACTTTTCAATGGATGGTTCTTTGAAAACTCAACTGAAACCACTTGTTTGAACAGTTCCTTAGAGGGTCTTCTATGGCGTTACTCCAATGAACCCTTTACGGCATCTTTATTTTTAAGAATGCATATTAATCTCTGTGGTGTGTAGGGCGTGAGGGAAAACACAACACCGTTCTATAACATCAAATGTCTCCTCTTGTTCGTCTCTGAAAGTTGAGGGAAGCCCATCACTTCCTGAGCAGAACCCCCTGGGCCACCACACTCTTCAGCCGACAGGAAACAGCAATCTTTTCATACCAAGCGCCCTGAATCAAGGTACATCTCAGGTGTAGCCATGCAAAATATCTCTGCCCAAACGCCTTTAATTATCTGGCTCAGTCTGGGTTCATGTTTTATACAGTAGTCTGATGTGATAAGACTTCATGGCTTCATATTACACAGCAAAAATACAAAAACAGGGTTTAATAAGACAGTGACATCTTCGTTTTTTAAGATCTACCATGTTTCACATGAACTAATGCATTAATAATGTCATTGTTCTTTCCCTTACTAGATGACAGCAGCACATCATCTGACGAAGCATATGAAAATGTACCGGACATTGACGAGGAGAATTGCGAGTCCTCTTCAAGCAGTGACTATGACGACGTCGCAAACTGGTGAACTCCAAATGCTAAGGCATTTAAGGCCTTAAATCAAGTTCTCAAAGACTGCTAGCATATTATTTATTCTAGTCTCTTGATGTGCTGGTAATGAGATACTGCACATTTACATTAGTTCAAAATATAATGTTTGTTCGTTATTAACTCTGTACACTATATTGTTTGCTCTCTGTGCTTTTGATTGGAGCAAAACAAGGATTTACAACAGTTTAAATATTTAAACGTGTTACACATAATGAATATATGCAGTTCTGAAGACCTCAGGACTTCAACAGTTCAGTGAATGTCTGAATAAAGAATGTTCATCACAGGGTGCCAAATATTCTGCTGTCAGTCTCACAGCTAAAACATCTTAACAGAAACTATTCGGTGACATGAAAGAAATTCAGTTTGGTGTGGAAGTGTGGTCTAAACCTAACATAATGTTTCAGTTAGACCTTTCCATACTTTGATGCCACCTGAATGTATTTGTAAAGTTAAATGCTGCAATAAACGCTGCAATAACTCAGATTTCTCAGAAGAAAGTGATAAAACTACACGTACAATGGAAATGACACCATAAAGCGACCCTGTATTAAACACCAAGTGTAGCTTATTCTATAAATACCTGGTTTCTCCATCTCAAAAACTCTAATGACAGACATGGAAGAATGATAGAAAATGGCCAGCATCTTCTCTGAAGCCAAGAGCATATCAGTACTTGGGTGAAACAGAGTTGCTTGGTGCAACGTGGTCCATAAGATCATCAAGCTTTGTGCTGACCGCAAACCCACTTGAGCTGCGGTATGTGCCTCAGTTCAGTCAGGGTGACGGCGGAGTGCCAGCTGCACTGGCAGGCATATGCACGAGCCCCCTGCCTCCTCTTCAGCTTGGCTCGCAACTTGTTATGGTCTGGCATGTTGTTTCTACAACACAAAAGCACAGGTAAATAAAAACAAAACAAAACAAAACAAAACAAAACAAAAAAAAACACATTTTTTCTCTCTCCAATCTCCAATCAGTGCACCAGTAATAACTGTTCATTTAATTTTGTATTTTGCTCACAGAAACCAGCCCAAAGTGTTTGATTAACAGTACAATAAAAAGTTCGGAATCACTGTTCTCGTTATTACTTCATGGCTTTATATTACACAACAAAAATACAATATTTATTAATAAAAACTAATTTTGTTGTTAGTGCATGTATGAAATGATCAGTGGTGGACATGTACTTCATTACAGTATTTAGGCACTTTTTTAATGTATCTGTACTATAAAGTATTTCCATTTTTTGATACTTATACTCCTCGAAATTTCACAGTAAATGATTGTACTTTTTACTCCAGTGTTTTTGCAAAAAACTAAATTTATATAATAAAACTAACTTTTTTTCATAATATACCATAGACAATGATTCCTTTTACAAATAAATCAAACTAATCATTGTGCACTTTTCACATCCCTCTTCTAAATGCCAAATGTCCAGTTATAGCTCAATAGCTGTAACTAGGCCTGGGTACTACCTAAAATGTAGTAATACTGTGTGTATCAGATAATTCTGTTGGTTGGGGGCAGAAATGTTGAAGAGGAGAAATGTTGGCTTGTTAGAATATCTCGCAACACCTTTGAAACTTAGGTATATTTAAAAAGAAGTACTTTCACAAAAAATATAAACAGAGCACTTAGATGCTTACTTGACTAGTATTTTACCAAGGGTATCTCTACCTTTCTCCACCACTAGGAATGGTTCTGTTAACATGTTAGTACTCTACAACCTTATAGGTTTCAAATAATTTGTAGGAAGCTGTACAAAGTATGAAGAAATGTTGGAATTAAATTAACATCCAGAATGCCTTGTATTATCTGAATGAATAAATCTGAGGCAGATCATGTATCAACAAATAACTACAAACAGACAGTTACAGTAGATTATTTATTGTTTAATAACTTCTTGATGCTCCTAAAACAATTGAAATGACACCCTCTGTTGTCTACACACACACACACACACACACACACACAAACACACACACACACACACAGATGTGTAAGTTACAGAACAAGATAAAAGCAGACAGATCCTTACAAAATGGAGTAAACAACATAAAAAGCTGCAGAACATGAGTCACTGTGTGTTTGATGGTGAAAGCGAGTACAGAGCATTCCGACTCTGAGCCTGAGATAAGGAAATGATGCAGTCTTGTGGAAAAAGCATAGTGTTCTGTTATTTATGCTTCCGTGAAAAGTTTCTCTAAGTGATTACTGCATATTTGCTTTCAGCACCGTTTCCTTGACTAATGCTCTTTGTGAAAAGGGAAAAGAAATTATCTCACTCTGTTACCCTACGACAAAAAAAACAGAGCAAAATATTCTGAAAGTCAGGCAAAGATAGTGGACCACTGACCAGTTCAGCTGCCCAGTGCTTATTTTTATCATGTATTTGCTTCAGCTTCCTAGCATGTGCTACTGCTGCCCCTCTCCTGACCAAAATGCATCATCCAATACTACATGAGCATACCTGAAGAAGAGATAGTCACAGGAAGAGTCCCACTCATGATCGTCAAACATGGTTACATGGAAGTCGCAAGATGTACATCGTAGCTGGTCACATGCCCTGTAAGAGAAGGTAAAGTGAAAAGAATATACACATGTTTAGATTGTACACCATTTCTAAGAGATGTTGCTGTCCTTCAGTAACTAGATTTAACACAACGTTACTTGAGTCAGGCTATTTGTGATGAAGCTAAAGATGTAAAAATGTTACACTGCCAACTGGTTATGTTGTTATTGCTAACTTCAGCGTACTATCATTACCTAAATGCTAAACTAAGTATGATTTAATGATAAGACACCACACAATAATGTGTCATTTCCATTTAGTGCAAAATGTTAGCGTTAGATTGAGATGATTAGGGATGCATCGATCATGAATTTTAATGGGTGATTCCAATTCTGATTTTTTACAGCCAAATTTTTTGTTCACTGATTTTTATTAGCTTTTTTTTTAACCCCACAGATTATACTCTGTGAGCTAAATAAACACATGAATCACTTGTCTGGCACTTTTTGTTAGCCAAAGTTTCAGTATAAATAACATGATTTGTTCTTTAACGGGCCAAACTGCCATTTTAAATCTTTAAATAAAAAATCATTTACATTTTAAATAACATGAACCAAATAGAGTGATACACTGAAGGTAAGAAGCAACTACATAGCATGCATATTTATTTAGCCATGCATGCAACTATTAGGTCATGCATAACTGAACAGTTTCATTTTAAAATGCTTTATATCAATTTGTAACAATTCCTGGTATAACAAGTTTTTTAAAAGAATAAGAGACGTATAATGATTATTTCTCTAATAAAGATGGTATTAATCACAATGTAGCACTGACTTCAGTGTTACTGTAGTGCTGATAATGATCCACCACCCAAATAATACCTGCTCTGTGAGGGTCCATGGGGGTCGTGACCACTGAAGAACAGGGTAAAAGGGGGCTAACAAAGTACGCAGAGAAACAGATGGACTACAGTCTGTAGTTGTAGAACTACAAAGTGCACCTATACAGTAAGTGGAGCTGATAAAATCGACAATGAGCGCAGAAACAAGGAGGTGGTCATAATTTTATGCCTGACTGGTGTATATACATAATAATAAAGAGAAGATTCCTGAAAGCAGTCTATAAATGTAGTTATGTTATAACTGTAGTTTGGGGGAGGAACATGCCTGAAACCCCTCCTTCTTAAAAATCTAATGCTCCAGAAATTCACATCCTCACCTTCCGTTCCTGTGACAAAGGTTCCCAATCCCCACCACCCCTTCTCCTCCCTGTTCCTCAGTCCTGCTATTGCTATGAGGGGGGGATCTGGCCTTCTAGCTACAGGCAGAAGCTGCCCAGAACTCCAGCCTGAGTTTTCAGAGCCCCCACAACTCCCTCAATCAGTCTTCCCTCATATTACCACCACATGTTGAAGGCATGGTCTGAACTCACAAATGTGTTTTGGAATGAAACCCTGTGAAGGCCTTCTCCACTTGTCATGTACTCTGACAGCTGAAGATACTTTTGAGGCTACGTTCTGGGCAGCAGGCCTGGGTGATACCTCAAAATAATTAGCACTATATTTTCTAGAAAAGAAATTGATTATTGATTATAATGCCCCCTACACTTCCCCAGCCCCCCAACCAATATACAAGGTCTGCTGCATCTTACTTTCTACTTTGCTCTTTTTAGTTTAGTGCTGTTCATATAAAGAAATTTGGTGTTTTCCCCCATAACTGGTATCACACTGGTATACAACTAAAGACGTCTTTAAAAACAATGTAGTATTATATTTTCAGCATTTTTAAACTGCTGCAGGCTCAACAGGTGGTTTTCATGACATCACAAAATGTCACTTTGTGATGTCACAAAAGGTTCCACATCACAAAAAACAACAAATTCACTACAGTCTTTCCAGATGTGGACTATGTGGACTGAGGGAGTGAATGGTATGTTTTGAAACTTTAATAATGTTTAGAAACTACATCTTGTCCTTTTATTTAAAAGAAGTGAGGAAAATTTGTTTTTGCATGATATGGCCCCTTTGGCATTTAGAACATCATTATTTAAGATAACTGAACTAAGCTCAGAGTATCAATCAGCCGTTGGTTCAGATTGCAGAGTGCAGTGTGGGAGAGGTTCATCATAACAACACTCACCTTCGAGAAATACTTGTTCCGACACCCCTTGTCATTGAGCTTCCACCCAGAAACAGAGGGCAGCATCTGTATGTAAAATGCAGAAGCACAATTAAGTCAGCTCAACTCAAATTATTATTGTTTCTCCAGAAGAAGACTAAAAACAAAAACCTGTACTTAATATTCATCCTCAAGGTCTACATCTAAACATATTTAACTAAAACAAGCTGTGATTAGGCTCATGTCTTTTAGGTTACCAGTCCTTGCAGATTTTCGGGGCACTATGGATTGATTAGATTCCACATTTTGTAAGTCGCTCTGAGTAAGAGGATCTGCTTAATAAATATAAACGTAAATGTACACTAACTGACCAAGGCCTTTGACATTATCTGTCAAATGAATGAAATGGCAGAGAGTTTTAACACTAATGATACTAAATTAGTTGCATTAATGTTATGCAGAAACATTTGTCGGCACTTACTTTTATAAAACTGTTACATTTGCTATTTTGGTCATTAGATGTTTCCATGAACTCACAATAATCACTATTACGAACAATAACAATAAATAGACTAATGCTATAACATAAATCTGAAATCTAACATGCATTTACACATTATTGCAATTATAAATCTGAAATATTAATATGTGTAATAATAGGCTTTAACAGGCACCAGTTTATTTTTCCAATTGTCCTCTACCTTTGCAAAGGCTTTTCTATTTAATAAGGCTTAGTTTAGGAGTATCTTTGGGCATTGGCCTGGGAAGATTTTTTTGTGTGCAACACAATAACTCTTGAATTTTAAATTTAATTAGCTTATAATGCAATAGTATATGTTCTTCATAACTATCATCTACTTACTTTTTTGAAGCTGTCTGAGGAGAAGAATGCTTAGTGCAGCTCCTCTCTGCAGCAGGTATCTGTAAACATGTAGTTTATCTTAGCAGCACAGCACCTTTTTTACTGTTAGATGTGGAAATGGCCCAGTTACACTATATGTCCAAAAGTATCCAGACACCCATAAAAAATGAGCAAATTCAGCTACTTTTCCCATTGCATTACAGGCATTCAATTGAGCTGTGTTCTCTGGAGTGATGGAGCTCAATCCAGTACCTTTGGGATGAGTTGAACTGGAGCATGCGATCCAGATCTGATCATCCAACATCAGTAATCTACCTACCCTCACTAATGCTCTTACGGCTGAATGCAATTAAATCCTCACAGCAATGTTCCAACATCTAGTGCAAGTGTAACCAACCCTGGTCCTGGTGATCTACTTTCCTGCACAGTCTAGTTCCAACTACAGTTTTCTACACCTGCTCCAGCTTATTAAGTTCTTCAGAGGTTCTTGACTGGCTGCATCAGCATTAGCTGAGGGCAGGGGCACCGTGTTATAGACGTAGGCTGGAACTAAACTCTGCAGAAAAGTAGGGCTGCGTCCAAAACCGCATACTACTCTAATGAATGGACTGCTAATAATTGCATACTAGATTTTACACACTACTGAGTATGGTTATATGTGGTTTTGGACGCAGCATCGATCTACAGGAGGAGGTTTGGTGACCACTGATCTAGTGTAACGTTAAAGCCTTACCAGAAGACAAGAGGCTGTCACTGTAGCAAAGGGGACAAACTTTCTAGTAACACCTTTGATCTTTGAGGCTGGATGAACAGGTGTCTTCAAATTTTTGGACATGCAGTGTAGCTTCTATGCACTATAACCGTCACACTCACGTCTGAACTGACAGTCAGGTAATCATCGTCCAGAATTTCCTGAAGCGCAGCCTCAGTATCACTGTCTGCTCCGGCTTCGTGTTCATTCGTACTGCTGGCAATGAAACACAACAGCTCGGTTTAGTGTTTCACCATCAAAACAGAGCAAACAGAGCCTAAATACCCACTTCATTAGCTTAGCTGATGTCACATACTCAAATATATAACTGGCTAAAACCGTCGCGTTTCTAGAAACGTGTAAATCTGATCTGTAAAGTTCGCTAGTCGAGATTAGATTTACTGCAACTGGACCACCTAGCGTTAACCTAGTTAGCTACATGGCTAAACAGCTAGCTCTGTGCAGAGCTGCGGGGATTGGTGTACCTGTGCCTGGAATCATTATTTCTCCGCTGTCTGAAACTGTCTTGGCTTACTTTAAAATTACAGGAAGGTTGAGCTGACAGTGAAGTATTTCGACAAAACTTTGCTTCAACCTCGTCAAGTAAATCGTCCAAATTGTCCGCCATGATGGCTGTGTCTCAATCCTCCAGTCTGTTCCCTTCAGTCCTTCACTCCGTCTGAGGGGGAATCACAGCCAGTCTAGTGGGAGCGAGCGAAGGAGAAAACAGGCGTCAGACAGACACGTTTACATAACTTGGGCTTGACAAAAGACTCTTGCACTTAAAGGAAGATTAATTGTCACTAGAAAATTATAGTTATTCAACTCCAGCTTTCATACTGTGTCTTTTAGGTGTTGTTTAAATGGTTGGTGGGTTCTTTGTTTGACGCAATGTGAAGAGCAAGCCGGTGATTTATTTAGCCTGTCGGTTTTAAGTGTGGGTTTACAACACTTTGTTTCATCTACATCAACATCTGTTTAAGACCGAAGTGTCCAGTCTTATCTTACCCTGCTTTAAGCCGTGTTTGTTTTCTTCACACACTTCGTCACACACAGATGAGGGAGTAGGGAGCGAATCAAGGGAGGCTGCTGAATGGATAAAGGCCGAGGAAGGAGCTGTCACCATAGAAACCCCATGGCGACATATAACACCACGGTCACAACACAAAGATGCGTGTCACGCACATGTTGAAGAGAGAAACTGGATTGTTTTTTTTGTTTGTTTTCGTATTTATTTATTATAACTCCATTATATGTAACATTTCCACATCAAGTTTTATTGTTTACAAGAAAGTAGTTTTTCTAAGTAACTTACAGGTAAGTTCTACATAAAACATACAAATGAACAGCACCCTGATTTGAAAGTGCTACTAAAGCAGATACGAGCTCGGTCAGATCGGGTTGCGTTCAGAGACGCCTGTTTTACTGTGAACTGCAAAAGTGTCACGTTGTCGGCAGGATTCGAACCTGCGCGGGGAGACCCCAATGGATTTCTAGTCCATCGCCTTAACCACTCGGCCACGACAACACGGAAACCTTCCCCAAGCAGACGTCATGTGATTGTCATGTGACAAACACCACATTATCAGTGCTACATTGATCAGACATAACATTATGACCACCCCCTTGTTTCTACGCTCATTGTCCACTTTATCAGCTCCACTTACCATATAGGTGCACTTTGTAGTTCTACAATTACAGACTGTAGTCCATCTGTTTCTCTGCATACTTTGTTAGCCCCCTTTTACCCTGTTCTTCAGTGGTCAGGACCCCCATGGACCCTCACAGAGCAGGTACTGTTTGGGTGGTGGATCATTCTCAGCACTGCAGTAACACTGACGTGATGGTGGTGTGTTAGTGTGTGTTGTGCTGGTCTGAGTGTATCAGACACAGCAGTGCTAAAGTATGCAGAGGAACAGATGGACTACAGTCTGTAATTGTAGAACTACAAAATGCACCTATATAGTAAGTGGAGCTGATAAAATGAACAATGAGCGTAGAAACAATTGAGGTGGTCATAATGTTATGCCTGATCGGCGTGTCTTATGAGTAATATCACCTTTAATAGGGAAATATAAGTGTTTTTCATTACACGACAGCTATTATATCCAAAGGTGTTACAAAACGATCGTGAAACTCTTCATTCATTTATCGATGTTACGGGAGCAGTACTACACAGACCTCTCTGTATTTTGCGGTAGACTGAATGATCTGCGGTTTAAAAAAACGCAGACGTCTTTCATCAAAACAACTGTTCCCTGACCGGGAATCGAACCCGGGCCGCGGCGGTGAGAGCGCCGAATCCTAACCACTAGACCACCAGGGAGCTGGCGACCCTTTAACTCCGACAGCCTGACATGGTAAACGCTATTTACCATATTAGCTATTCATCATATTACTATATGATTGTTATATATGACTCATATATTAGACGTTACCATATTAGACATTAATCAATGTATAATGGAATGTACCTTATTTATTTTTATTTGTTCTTTTATTTAGCTCAAAAAATACTGTTACACAGGTAAATGCACTCAGACACTGTAATGAGAGTAAATATAACTCGTTGAAGTTCTCATCTGTTTCTGTAAACACAGAACTATTAACCAATAGATAACATACTGCTGAGGTCTTCTGTAAAAGCCCACATATAAGAGGAGGCTTTCTCGGTTCAGATATTCGAAAAAGTAGTTTTTCAGGTGCACCGGTTACTATAGTATGTTAAGAAGTCGCTTATTTAATAAAGGTTTAGAAATCTTTAGTTTATTTTTTCTTTTATTGTCCGCTTTATTCCCCTCCCACAATCCTCTGAGCAGGACTGCTGTCTGTCTTCTTGACTGAGCGAAGGTGGACTTTTCTTGTGTGTTCTTGTATGTGGACTTTTCTTGTGTTTATGCACCAGGGGGCGCAAATGAAAATGTTTTGTGCTTTTGAGAGCTGGCATCAGCTTCCTATTTTTTTCTGGTAGTGAAACTGTTGGTGTGCTAAACTGGGACAGTGCTTTACAGAGACATTCCAGCGATGCTTCCGGAATTCTACATAATTCAGTCGTTCAGATGTAAACAAAGTCATCCAGAGTGGTTTGATGTGAAATGGTGAGTTCTAGAGAAAGTTTACAGTGCTGGTGATAACCTGGCGTCACATCATCAACAATACAATTAGCCAAGCCTACCAGGTGGCGATATCCCACTTCGGACACCAGTGTGTCACCTGCGGTGAAAAAGCAGCAACATTAAATGCTGTTTTAACGGCGGACAACTATAAATGGAAGTATGGAGCTAAAAATAAAACAATGAAAGTCAAAACTTAGTGATATTCTCATTGAAGTTATGAGGTATGTTTCAGCCTGGACTGATTTTTAAATGAGGCCCAACACAAGGCAGCCAAACAGAGGTCATTTTCATGTACGACTCTTAAAGGCACAGTAACAAAAGCAGCCTGTTCTGAGAGATTGGAAAATGCTCATGTTAAAATTCTGACTGTTTTGGTAAACTCACAAACGTTATAAGTGGACCTCAATGAAAAAAAAAGAAAATACAAGAAAAATGCAAGATATTAGGCCTTTAATAAAACAACAAAGCAATAAAGCAACAGAAAAAAACTTCTTTAAACTTTAGTTAAATCTTTACTCTTTAGTCTTTTATAAGTCATTATTCCACTGTGTCAGAAAGAGACAGAATAAACGATGTGACCTGTGAAAACTATTCCAACTTGGGGACAATGCAACCATTAGAAATGAATAAAACCCTTCCCATGATGTAAAGGTTGTGTACCAGTTAAATCGGTTTTTAAGTTTTAACCCAGGAACCGTTTAGGAACCTTTATTTCAGGGCTGGCTTTTCTCGGAGACAGACAGACAGTCCTACAAGCACAAGCTGATCAGGGAGCACATCTCAGGCTCCCGTTCTGTACCAATATTTATCATCTGGATCCTAAAGAATCTGAGCTTAGTGTGAATTTGAGGGAGGTGGACGTTAATAATATAGAAACGTTAATCACGGTGACATGAGGTTAACAAAGAAGAATAAACATGAGCAAAAGCAGCAGTTTAAACAGCTGTTAGAGTTAGCCCCTTTAGTTAAAGGGAAACTCACCGATTTTTCATCATCTCTGCATAATTAAATGGCTAAGATATAAACAGAGTCGTTCAGAGTGGCGTGAAATGCTCTGTAATAGAGAAACTTACTGAGTCAGTATTGTTCACAGTGGTGGTGATACCTGATGCCTGAGATATTGCAGTTTTATGATAAAGTTTTAGTTTAAAACATATTTTTATCAATTTATTTTAACCCATTCATGGTGGAGGGATACATATGAGTGTTCTAAGGTAAAATAGTCCCCAAAAACCTCTTTTTTTCACATTTATGACTACCATCATCAACTTACATAAAAAAAACTCAGAAGACGTGCATTTGGATAATAAATCAAATGATTTATTTGTTTTATAGACATCGTGACTCTTCGTTCTTATGACCACCACTGTAAAGAAATCTGAGTCTGTACGTTTCTCTACAGTGAACCAGTTCACATAAACTGTTTACGTCTCAGCCGCTGAATTATACAGAAATTCTGAAAAATTGGTGGCATTCCCCTTTAACACAGGTCGTTACAGAAAAAATAGCTTCGAAAAAATTAACGTTTGTTGTCATGGATCGGAAAACTGACCCAATGAAAAAAATACCAACATTTAATAAAGTGGATCAGGGGCATCTGCTTTTCAACTGACCAAAAATCATCATGTGTTTTCGATTAATCAATAGCTGGAGATGACGTAATACGACCACGTGACGCATGTCATCGTTTTGATTGGCTTTTACATGAAATGTGTTGATGTGCTTGCAACTCTCAAGATGCAGGGCGGTTTACATTATGCAACTCGAGTGCAATTTAGTGACATGTTTGTTTTAAGCAACTAAAGTTGCTGGCTTTCTCACAGTAATAATTCCAGTATCTGTAGGCTGCTTTACACACTGTGAAAGTGTAGTCACTTCGATAGCCATGTGGTTTCATGTGGGGGGAAAAAGTCACTTGCATTAGGTGGGTTAAGACAGCTCTCCTCATTTATATTATTTATTATTATTTTACTAATTTAAAGAGCATGCAGACAACACTTGTTTCAGTAAGTCATTCTGAATGCTATAGTCTCTTTAAACACAGTTTAATTACATCTCAAATAAAAGCTTAAACAAGTAAGTTTCCACTTGCATGAAAAACAATTTACTAGAAAACATATAGTTGCCTGGACAGAGATAACTGCATTAGAGCTACCGTGGGGTAGAGTCATTCTGACATGACTGTAGATCACGGTGATGAATGATCACAGTTACATTCATTCAAGATATTAATAAAACAGCTACAGGTCTTTCAGCATGAATTAAGCTTAATTATTATTCAGTAAACATACTAGACAATGTAGTTCAGAAGCTGCAATGAGCTGTTTATGCTTACAGGCTGTGAAAATTAAGTAACAAATCACCTTTTCTTTCTGACTAGAACATAAATTATAAAACTTACATGCTTGTGAAGACATAATTGGAAATGATCTACATGTAAACACATACTTTATGGCATAAATTGCTCACTCATGGCCCCAGTAAAATGGACTAAATTTTATGTTGTACCGAAACATTTCAGCTAGAAATAATCAAAAAGGCACTTTCAGTTTTCATCTGAAAGCCAAAAAAGAAAATTTTGGCTGAAATAAAAAAAGACTGAATAAGACTAGATCGACTTAACAAATCATTTAAACATGAAACAGTGATTAAAACACTGTTTGTTCACCTTGTTCTCCTGTACCAGCATTTAAACATTTGGAGCTGTAGTAGATCAACAGTGGAAATGTCGGCCATGTGGAACTGTTATAATCTCTATTCATGTAGAGTTTTAGAAGGGGGTACAATGATCAAGAATGTCTCTACTACAGGTTTGGTACCATGTAAAACACTACATCTTGCTTGATATATGAAACACAGCAAAACAACAGAAGCAGAAAGAAAAGTTGTGGCAAGGATGCCAACTCCATCTCTAGCCTCAGTTTTGGATATGATGAATAAATCCACCCATCCACAAAGTGCAAAGTGTAATTAATAGAATAATGGAATTTATTGCCTTGGATGAACAACTGATTTCCCTGGCACATTGTGTAGCCTACAAACCGAAACTATTTTATGTTTGAACTATTTTTAGTTAGTTTAGTCAGTTTAGTCCTATTGAAAGCAGATTTTATCAATAATAAAGGCATATTTTCTTTATTACATACACCTTCTATGAAACCTTTCCTTTGACTTTCCAGCTTCAGTTTTCATCCAGGTTTGTCCTGAATTTCAGTTTTTGGCCTTATTATCATTCTGGTATATCTCTAGATGTTACCACTCTAAAGTGTGAGAAGCTAACAAGCTCCAGCTTCTACATGAAATCTGAAAGATCACTTATCCCATCTACAGAGCTCTCTGCTTTGTAACAGTGTTAATGTGGTTTTAGCAAAAGCATCTTCTCATCAGGTGTATGTGAAATTATACATTTGCATAGTTTAAGATTAGTTGAGAATTACAAACAAAAAAGTCTCCACTGCGTACACCTGAAAGATGCTTTCCCAGCACAGTCACAGTCTTAGTAAGGACAAGCACAGTCCTTCCTATTCCAGCGCTGAACATTGCCTCACCAATCAGACAAAGTCAACAAGGAACTATTTCTTCCACAGATCCACACTGACCCTCTTCGATGTGTTCCTCGGTTTGAGACCAGAATATGAGGATTACAGAGTCACACGTATTCCTGGGCTGAAATCTTCGAAACCACTCCTTTTGATTCCAAGCTAACGATGAGGTGCTTCATCTTCTGGGTTGTCTTTAGTCGAGCATCTTTTGAGAACTTGTCTTTGTGGTTGATTAGTGTATTCCTTAGACAAATCTGGAAAACAATAGTGTTAAACGTTAACAACCTGATAAGTGGAAAAACATTGGTCTTGATATGTTAATTAAGTTAATTAAGGTATTGGAACGTAAAAAGTGTATCTGATTTCCTTATATTGACTCTACAGGCCACAGCAGAAAGACAAAACAGGATTACTTACATAACTAACATAGAACATCAGCAGTGCTGCTATAAGTAAAGTGATGGCCAGCACCAGATAAATTGTATCATTTTCTTCATATTGTCTTGCATCATCTTTGAGTTGCTCTGAGGAACACAAAACAAAACATCTGGATGAAATAAGATGTTATTTGACTCAAGTTGTTTTTGTATATCAAGTACTTCCCAATGCAGTCCACTCTCTACATTTAAGTACATTTACACTCACCATAGACCCGGAGGTGAATCTCTCTCTCCTGGTTCTGATGGCCAAGGGGAGCTGAGAGAAAGCAGAGGTATGTCCCAGCATCCTCCACAGTCACGTTGGGCAGGAGAAGGCTTTGTGAATCCTCCAGCAGCTCCACTTCCCGCATCAAACCTCTGTATCTTTGAATAGTGCCATTATTTTGTGTCAGCCTCTTCATCACTAGACCAGTTAACTTGCGAGAGGAAGCCTCACTGACCTGAGAAATGAAAGCAAGTCAATCAGTTATGAAGGGAAAGTCACTTTACTGGCCTTAAGAGGCATACAATAGTCTACACTAACAAAACTGGTTAATTCCAGGCCTAGACTGTTTCCAGACCACAAGCACATGACCACTCACATTTAGAAAACAGTATTACGTCAGTTAACTTCTGCTATCACTTCTGATTCATCCAGTTGAATAGCCTAAAGCAATGTTTCCCAGTCTCAGTCCTGGTGTGGTCAGCATTGCCGAGGTACAGTTAAGCTTTCCCTCCATTTTTTTTACCTGAATCAAGCGTGCTATTGCAGAGGCAAAAGACTCACTAAACGCTTCACCAGTACAACAAGACTTTGCCATCGTCCTGAAGTATCGCTACACTAGAGTGAACTGTTTGATCATTCTTTTTCATAGCATGTTTATAGCAAAGGGCAGCACATGCATTTCTTTGAGGTATCTAAGGCCGTTCACAGCATCTTTTTAAACCACTGCCCACATCTATACCACCAGACACCAACAAGACTGAATAGGACATTGCTTACATTCATCCCAGTCATCCTTCCAACTCAATAGCAGCACAGCTAACTGTTATCATGTCTTATTCTGTGGATACTAGGTGGTTTCATAGATCTTCATAACTCTTATCAATGCTGGTCCTCACTTAGGACAAGACATATAACAATGTAATGTAATGTATTTATAATTAATTGATGGATTTGCATACAAAATAGATCAGTTTGTTATTTTTACATAAGACAAATAAAAAGTAAGTCATAATATAACTTTAGTGCTTTATCCCATAATGAATAGTTCATGGTCCCTGAGCTCTTATGATCACTATTACCCCACTGAAACATTTTCTTGAGAGTGTGTTGTCCCATCCATGAGATCACACGTGCATGTAAAGTTACAATCCTTCCGTCAACTTCATTCTTTTAATACCTTCATAGTTTATCTGAAATGAGTTAAATGTGTCCTACCTTGTACCATATGACAGACTGATAGCGCACACCGGGCTCAGTCGCTGCCAAACAGCGCAAAACTGCGTCCCCTCCGCAGACGGACAGCGCTTCATGCTCCACACTGGCGCTGTGCCCTCGGACAGCTGTGGACACATTAGGCACTGAGTTACAAACCACGCCGGTGCGGAAAAAGGACAGAACAGCGACTCCTGCTAACCGGAGTCAAAGGATGGTCAAGAACAGCAGCCAGTCTTACCGAGTGAGAGGAGAAACAGACTCAGTACTCCAGTGTAGTGCATCGTTAGGCGCAGATAGAGAAGTCTGACGGATGCCCTGTTTTTATTATGGGACAGAAAGTGAAAGGTGGAATCCCCCCCCGCAACAGACTGTGATCACACGCGCACGCCCACGCGCGGGAGGAGCTCAGGTCAGCTGAGCTAGCGGAGCTTCGACGCTTGAAGGCTCATCAGCATGGTTCGCTTCGCCTTCATCGTATTATTTACAGCCACTGTTTTCCAACATGGTAAGTTTTTTAGCAATCATTTGCATACATGCTACGACAAAGTTTGCACGCTGAAATCTTAAAAACACGCCGGGTGGGTCCGGTTAGCTCACTGTGCTGCGCTGAGCTCTCTCACCGCTTCATTCACTGCGTGAGACGATAAAGACGTTTCGTGAGCCTCTGATTTCTCTATGAACGCTAAAGAAATGGTCCGTCGGTGAACGCATGAGTTGTGTGTGGACATTTCGGGTTTTATGTTTGATTTTCTGTTTTTATTTTTTTCGCTATTGCGGGGGAGAAAGTTTGTGCCGCTTCAGACAAGCCCCGCCTTCCTCGCGCAGGAGGCGGGCGCTAACTGTCCTCCGCTCAGTTTCTTATGGCCCACTACTCCGAACGGTGGTCACCAAATAACCGATATACACACAAATACTGTATTATCTGTCTAATATAAAGGCACCTACATTCAGGTATAGGCTGAACGGCTCAGTGTCTAACAGTTAGTGCCCTGTTTCGTAGTCTCGTGACGTATGCAGTGCACTATATAGGGCGAATGGAGCGATTTGAGATTCAGCCAGTTAATTTCAGCACTACGACATCAACACGTGCGGTCCAGCTTCCGCATCCAGGCTGAAGCCCCTCGGCTCTGTGAACAGAACAGGGAGAACAACTTCGCTTTTTCAGGAAATTTTCAAAATGCTGTTTAATGTGCGTGTATAGCACAGCTTCAGCTTCTCTTTTGCTGTCTTGTTTGTAAACACGTTGTACTTCCGCATTGAATTCCTCGTGTAAATTTCCCTCCACCGTTGGGGAACTCCTCGGGAATCCCCTCACAGACCCGCATCAGTCTGCTGACGAAGCCGCTTTCACACCGTCGGAGCTGGGGGATTTCAGGTCTCCAGCTGTTGAACTATGACTTCTATATAGAACTATTTGATGTTTACATTGTTCTTTGCATGGTTCTTCAGATTGATGGAGAATGTGTTGTAAATGGTTCTCTGCAGCACTATATACAACACATTCTCCATCAGTCTGAACCTAAGCATGAAATGGTTCTATATAGAATTCATGGTTATAAATAAAACCGTTGCCTTTACTAAAGAACTGTTGAGGGACCATGTTTTAAAGTGTATACACTGGTATTTGAGCAACAAAGTGAGGATTTCCCTTTATTATAAAGCAGAAAGCCGGTTTCAGATTCTTCAGATTCAGAGCACTGTATGCAGGGACTCAAAACAAATAGGTTGATAAAATATCTTTTAAAGCACTACGTTTTTGATAATTGTAAAATGTAGAAGCAATAAATAACTTAATAATACAAAACCTTGTTTTTCCTCTTACTTTGTTTTTTCATAATTTGAAAACCCCATTGCATGATGAACAGATCAATGTGTCGAAAAACCTTGTTAATTTAACTTCCATTACAAGTTAAGAAATTTTTTTCGTTGTGTAACGTGACCGTTTTGGAGATGCAAGGTTTTGTTCCGACAGCGATGATATCTTGGCTTATGAAGAGTTAGAAAAGTTTCTCTGACGAGCCCAGTGGTTCCCAGGTTTGGTCCTGGAGCACCCCTGCTCCAGCTCAACCACTTCAACTCAGGAAGGACTCATTAATCATCTGATTAACCATTGAATCAGGTTTGTTAGGGTGCATAATAGCATTTTGATATTTGTGATATTTGCTAAACAAATGTGCTAACAAATGTGTCTTTGGATCAGTGCCATAGAAGAACCAGTGCTTAGGGGCCTCTTACTGCTAGGAGCCTTGGGGGGGTGGGTCGCTCTGCTGACCACAAGGCCTGAGTGCAGCTATGAAAATTAGATGAATGGATAGCCCTTGAATATGTAATGACAAAATAAATAAAATAAAGGCCCCTTGGCATGTACCTTGCTACCATATTCAAAATAATTTAAAGCCCCCTAACACCAATCTAAATGTGTAGAAATATTACTATTATTACTGTATTATGACTATTATTATTACTATATTATTATTGGGATATTACACATTCTTTGAGAATCAGTTTTTGCATTACAATTTTTTCCCAGTGCAGTTTGAAGTGCACATAAGTGCTTAATTAATGTGATTTGTCAGGTCTATGTTTTTATTATAATTTGTTATTTTTTTCATTGTTGTAAGAGTGTGGGGAGGAGGGGGGGGCTCAGTGCTCAGTGCAGGGCCCTCATAAGACCATAAATCCATACCTGCTTGAAACGCATTACCAGCTGTTGTCTCAGTGTGTTTTGGCTGAACAGGTTTACTAATTATGTTAAACATTGCTGGAGTTTTCTTTCAATCACAGGTTCTGGAGTACCTCCTGCCCTGTGCATTTATGTGTTTTCCTGCGCTAAACCTCCCTCTTCAGCTCAGGAAGGGCTTTCAAATTAGGTTCTTAATTGGATCAGCTGTGTTGGATCAGGGGATTCTCCACCACCAGACATGGGAACCACTGCCTTAAATCATCCACTGAGTGGTTACTTAGGAACTTAAAGAACCCATTTGGCACCTTTAATTTTAAAGAGTGGTCTTGAGGATCCTAACAAGCTTTCTGTTACTCTGGGAGCTGTTTGATGGCACTTAGTGTGGAGATTAGCTCTATGTGCTTTTGAGGAAGGCATGTGTTGGTCGATACTGACAGCTAATCCTTTTTCTTTCTTGCGCTTTCTCTGTAGTGGTGTCCACATCAGTGCCAGAAACATATGAGAATTATCTTTGTGCTGGAGGACCACAAAGTCTAACGTCTGAGCGCGCAACAATGGCCGAAGACTGTGAACAGATTTGGAGTATTGGGAGCAGCGTAAGTAAAGCAAGACAGTGTTTTCATTTCAGCTCTGCTATGTTCCTCACTTATGATGAGTAACGTTACATTCATGCAAAACAGAGAGTCTAACGCTCATCCAGAGTACTGTACCTTATTTACCCCGTTTAATGTTGTACTTCCCTCAGCCCATAGGAAGAATCTGGAACGGAAGTGTTGAGTGCCACAGACCATGCAGTCAGGTGACTGTGGGTAAAATTGTTGTCAGCAAGTGCGTCAATATCACACTGACTGTTTTATGTGTAGAGGTAAGGAATTTCTATTCCCCATTAGTGATTATAATTACACATGTGATAAATGCATATGTTAAATTCATTCTTCTAATTTTACTTTTAAAGGATTATATGACTGAATATCGGATTCATTTTAGTGGTAAGATTTTAAATGGATATATACATACATGCATACATATGTATATACTTACATCTTCATTCTTCATAATGTAGTAGAGCCAAGGCAGTTATAATTGATCATTCTCTTTATGATATTTCATTGTAGGCATCAACCCTTCACCACAAATACAGCCCAAGGACAGAGCTCACTATGGTAATACTATCAAATACAGTACAACTACTTAAAAACATCAAGTTTGTTATATCCTGTTCAAAAATCAGAATTCAGAAAAGTGGCTTGTAAAAGTATTTGATACATTTAATAGACAAACTAAATTTGAGATGCAAAGACGGAACAAATAATGAAATCTGAACATTTTTATTATAGTTGAGAAAATATTGAATTTTTAAAGGGTTGAGTTTCATATATTTACACATAGAGGGCTGACATATCTGATGTTGTGTAATCATCAGGTTTCTATGCAAGTCTTGCTGTCCTTGGTGGCCTGCTGGCAGTGGTTTTGGTGGGACTGTTGTTCCACTGCTACAGATCTCACCATGATGGCTCCAGGAACACAGACGTGATTCAGCATTAATTATACAATGCTAGCCTACATTCACTGTTAATATGTATAAAACAATACTTTTATATCTTTATATAAATGTATATACCTTTATATATATATATATATATATATATATATATATATATATATATATATATATATATATATATAAGTATGTATATATACACTCATTGTCCATTTTATGAGCTCTACTTACCATATAGGTGCATTTTGTAGTTCTACAATTACAGATTGTAGTCAATTACATCTGTCTGTCTTCACACTTTATTACCCCCTTTTTATGCTCTTCTTCAATGGTCAGGACCCCCAGATGACCACCACAGAACAGGTACTATTTGGGTGGTGGATCATTCTCAGCACTGTAGTAACACTGACGTGGTGGCGTGTTAGTGTGTGTTGTGCTGGTACGAGTGGATCAGACACAGCAGTGCAGCTGGAGTTTTTAAACACCTCAGTGTCACTGCTGGACTGAGAATAGTTCACCAACCAAAAATATGCAACCAACAGTGTCCTGTGGGCAGCGTCCCGTGACCACTGATGAAGGACTAAAGGATGACCAACACAAACTGTTCAGCAACAGATGAGCTATCGTCTCTGACTTTACATCTACATGGTAGACCAACGAGCTAGGTGTGTGTAATAGAGTGGACATTTTTGATTTTATAGAAAAAATAAATAATACATTTGAAGCTGTGGAAGCTTCATATAATATATGTAATATAATATATAAAGGTGTAGTATAATATGAAGTATAAATATAAAATAAAAGATTTAATATAAATAAAATTAATAAATGAAATATATAAATACTTGTGGATGATCAAGCTGAATGAACAAGCACACAGGTATGCTATATGTGTGTGTGTGTATAAAAAATTGTATTTATAGTCAGCTAGTATCAAAGATGAGACTGTCTATCGTATGTTTGTAAATGTGAATTTTCTTAAATATTGAAAATATTTTTATGGTAGGTTTTAATCGTTTTATGTATTTTATATATATATATATATATATATATATATATATATACTTTTTTGCATAGTTTATATATGATATTTTGTTGTACATACATTTC